AAGAAGATGGAAGATGGTAGCTTGCTTGACTTTTTGTGTATATGTATAACCATGATTCCGATCGACCATATACGTCACGAAAACACAGTTAGATTGCCTGTGTCATGTAATTTTTTTATTTAATGTTATCAGTAAAACCCAGTAGCATCTTCGTCCGACTCGGGAATATTACACAAAATGTATTGGAGAGGCCATGCTTTGTGCACTTGACCAAACACATGTAAGTAATGCCTTCGTTTAACTATAAGTACTTCATCATCACACGTCCACTTCTGGACAAAGGCCTCCCCCTTAGTCCTCCACGTCGAACCTTAGGTTAATCGGTTATTTGGTTTATAAAAACAACTATTTGTTACTACACCAGTGTGTAACACAGTTGTCATTATATTATTATTACTTTTCCTACCCCAGGTCCATAGGAAGAAATTCCAATAGGAATATGTGGTACCTTTGTTAGTACTTTAATTTTATATATGTGTTGTCCTTTATGTTGTATGTGTACATAGATAAATACTTAAATAAATAAATATTTTGACTGTTCAGACTCACTACAACAACTTAACTTGATATTATAAGGAAAAAAGTAGGTAAGTAAATAGTGCTCAAAAACGTGTCCCTAATCCGTAGAACCTAGCCTAACAGTTTAGGCATTAATCTTTATATAACCGTCGCGATGAAGCCGTACAAGTTACCTAAAATGGCTGCTATCGTCTCGATCAATATACTTCTATAATAAGTTTAAGTAATATTGGTAACATTTAATCCTTAGAGATCGGGATAGCTGTAAATTACAATTAGGTAACACCTATGTTCCATGGTTAATAGCTAACATAGGTCATTCAAGGTTTGGTTCTAGAGTCCATGTTTTGAAAATTCCGATAATGTCTTGCTCGTTCCGACAGTCAAAAATCTTTATTTCTTAAAAAGACTAACTAAATATGGAGTTTCTTTCTCGTTCTTCTCCATTCCAAAGTACACTTTGGAACGAGCGCCTAGCTTCACTGACAATTCAATTATTGATGTTTCAGAAGTGACTAATTAAGGTTTTATTGAAATAAATGCTTTGACTTTCACTTTGAATCCGAGATCTCGTTCGTGACGCTTGAGATAATAATGTACGACAATTTTTACTTGAAAACATTTGAGATAGACTGCCGATTTGTATCAATTTTTGACGAAAATCCATACAAATAATTTTCGTACAAGGTGCTCTCTTCTTCTTCTCCCAATTCTCCTGCGGAGTATCTTTTTCTTGAAGTTTGTAGCCGGGGGGGGAAAGTTGTGTTAGGTGTTGTCTATTGTCCCCCTACTAATGATTATTTCACTGACTTCGAATCAGTTCTTGAATCATTGGGTTCCGAGTACACTCACCACATAATCATGGGCGATTTTAACACCAACCTTATGTCCCACGCCTCTCCTCGTTCCCGCAAACTCCTACATATAATCGAGTCAGCGAGCTTGCAGCTGTTACCGCTTAACCCCACTCACCACACTACAGTCGGCGAAGACTCCTGGCTCGATCTTATCCTCATTTCCAATCCCTCTCTCGTTTCTTGTCATGGACAACACGATGCTCCGGGTTTCTCTCACCATGACATGATTTACTTGTCCTATATCCTAAAACCGCCTAAGGTGAGACCCAAGGTATTGTACCGGCCACCGGCGTTGTTTCGCGCGGATGGACAAATCTAAACTCCAGAATGACGCTTCCTCGATCAACTGGGAGCCACTGATGGAAGCATCTTCAGTGGATGATAAAGTTGCGTACTTTAACACAGTCATAACTAGAGTGTATGATCTTCATGCTCCCATCAAGAAAGTTAGGATTAAACGACCACCGGCTCCGTGGATGACGCCTGGTATTAGAATGGCGATGCGACGTCGTGACCGTGCGTTCCGCAAGCATCGAAGAGATCGTACGGAGGATAACTGGGCTGCCTTTAAGACCGCGAGAAACAGATGTAACCAGATGGTACGTGACGCTAAACGCCGCCATGTTCTTGAAAACATATCTTCCTCTTCTTCTGCCGATATCTGGAAATTCCTTGGTACTCTAGGCATCGGCAAAACGCAATATCCAGACCTACCCAGCACAATTGGATTGGACGATCTTAACAACCATTTCGCTACCATCCCTGTTATGAATCGTCTAATGAAACAACAAACCTTGTCGTACATAGCTGGTCTGGCGCGTCCAAATATTTCTGATCCTTTCTGCTTCACACCGGTTCAATTGGCGGAGGTCGGAAAGATTATCCTATCCATAAAATCCAAAGCTGTAGGATGTGATAATATCTCTCGAGATATGATCATAACTATACTAGATCACATCTTACCAGCAATAACTCATATAGTAAATTTTTCTCTTTTTTCAGGAACCTTTCCATCCCTCTGGCGCAGGGCCTTTGTTCGACCTCTTCCTAAAATCTCTAATCCCTCTCTTCCCACTCATTTCCGCCCTATCTCCATACTTCCTTTCCTTTCCAAAGTGCTTGAGGCCTGTGTCCACAAACAACTGGCTGACTTTATTTACAAAAATTCGCTCATAAGTCCCTTCAATCTGGTTTCAGGCCGGGCCACAGCACGGTTCCGCTCTCCTTAAGGTGACTGGCGATATTAGAACTGGTCTCGAGAGCGCTAAAGCCACAGTTTTGGTTTTAGTTGACTTCTCGAATGCCTTCAATATGGTCAGTCACGACATCCTTTTAGCCATCCTTTCCCATCTAACGATCTCTGACAACTCATTGAACTGGTTTTCATCTATCTTCGGGACCGCCAGCAGTCGGTCAGGCTGGATGATATTTCATCGGGTTGGCGCGAATTAACGGCTGGTGTTCCTCAAGGCGGCATACTATCACCTCTTCTATTCTCTATCTTCATTAATCTCATTACTTCTGAACTTCAGTGTGCGTACCATCTATACGCTGACGATTTGCAACTGTACTGTCAGGCCAATGTTGACAGGCTCTCTGATGCGATCTCGGAGATGAACGGTGACCTGGTATCCATTAAGAACTGGTCCGAGAGATTCGGTATATCAGTTAATCCCGGCAAATGCCAGGCTATTATATTGGGTAGCTCCCGTACGCTAGGTGGGATTGACCGAGCATCATTACCAGCCGTGCTCTTTGATGGTGCAGTAATTCCGTTTGGTACTGACGTCAAAAATCTGGGTTTGCATATTGACTGCAATTTAAAGTGGCATGCTCAAATCACTAATGTATGCAGAGGGGTTACTGGATCATTGCGTGCTCTGTATCGCGTAAAAAATTTGCTTCCTCCCGCTACGAAGGCCATGTTGGTGCAAGCCTTGGTTTTCCCTATCATCGATTATGCTGATGTCTGCTACTACGACCTGAATGCAGATCTCCTCAATAAGCTCGACCGACTTCTAAATAACTGCATTCGATTCGTTTTCAACCTGCGTAAATACGATCATGTTTCTGCACATCGGCTGCAACTAAAGTGGCTGCCCATACGCCAGCGCAGGGAGCAAAGGGCGCTTACCACTCTATTCTCCTTTCTTTGTTCACCTTCTTTACCCAGTTATCTATCCCCTTACTTTCAATACTTGTGCGCAAACCACAGTAAAAACCTTCGTTCTTCCCATAACCGTCTTCTCCAATGTCCCACTCATCACACTGACTTCTTTCATTCTTCCTTTTTCGTGCAGGCAATTTTGCTGTGGAATGCGCTCCCCCTGGATGTCAGGATGGTGTCGACACGTTTAACATTTAAGCAGAAAGTACGTGAGCTTCTCTTAAAGAGGTTGGCTGAATCATCACAATAATTATTTACAGAGTATTAGTAATTATGTTCATATTTATATTATATGCTATGAGTCTATGTATGTATGTATGTATGTATGTATATTGCAGTGTACTCGTGTGTAGGTATATATATTATTATTATATTTATTTATGTTCATATTTGAAATATGTTAGTATAATCTTCTATTTTCTCAATTAAATCGTTGCTTGCTTCTTGCTCCTACCATTCACTCTTCTCTGCATCACCCAAAGGTCAGACTGGGAGAAAATGCCTGCGGCATTAAGTCCACCTTGTGTACACTTTGTGCATGAAGCGTTAATAAATAAATAAATAAATAAAAATAATTAATGTCAAAAAACGATTCATAATCTATAGATTTTCATTTCGGCCATTAGACGTTATCTCTATCGACAGGGAGGTTATTGATAGAAAGTACTTACGGTAAAGTTAAACCTGAATTTCAGTAGTTTCATGATACTTATTACTTTACATCTCGAGATCGAATCCCAGGAGAAATCACAGCACTCTGCGACCATTGTTACCCGATGAATTCGTTATTAAGGGTCTGAATAAGTTGTATAAAACTGCTTAGAAAGAAGTAATTTTTTACAAATTTTGATACGATATTATTTTTTATATATTAGTTAGATTTTAATACCAAATACATAATGTACGCGACCGCAAAGCCTGTGGTACAAATTTAATTCTATACAGGCATTGTATTGTAGAGATTATTATACTTGGATTAAGTATATGTGAACATAATGGAAATAAATATATATGTTTGTTTAATACCCTTTCCTACGCCACAATACTGAAAGGCAAAAGGTAAATCGTACTTAAATATCGTGCCATCTCTGCAATTTTACAAAAAACATGTAAAATTGAGTGCCGTTTGAGTATTTAGACATTAATGCCGGAATACTGAAACGTTACTCAATTTTAAGTCGTGCTTAAATATCGTGCCATCTCTGTCATTTTACAACGAATTTGTGGAGTCAGAACTATACTTAAGCACAACTTAAAATTGAGTAGTCAGTATTCCGACATAAGTCTTCTAATTTGGAATAATAATGTTAAACAGAACACTTAAAGAATACAATAAACAGTTGTGGATTAAAAACCATAATATTCTTTATCCCTTCACCCAAAATGTGACACAGGTAATTGTTCAATAATCACAAAGAAAAACAGCATTTATGTTAACAAACTTAAGGTATTCTTACCTTATCTACGGGCATGGAAGGGCACGCTCGGCACAGGTTCCAGAATGAGCCGATCATCTGGGCACGCCTCTAGGCCGGGAGTCTATGGGCCACTGGTTTACGCCCTAACTGAGCTGGGCTGCTGGTGCATTCGCTGCTGGAATAGAAGGTCAGGAGGTTAGAAGGTGGAAATATTAATAGAGGACTTATACAGCTGTGCATAGGGATTGAAATCGGTTGGTAGGAAGAGTAAGCTATGGAGTTTCTCACTCGTTCTTCTCCTTGGAATGAACAAATAGTTTCACTTTTAATTATTTTTTTTGTTGACGTTCAAAAGTGTCTGCCTGGTCTAATTGAAATAAATGATTTTGAGTTTGATTTTGACTTTGACTTTGAGAAATATTAATACGGCCAGTTGATTTTGGGAGAAAATATGAGTAGAAAGAAGGACCTACGAAGTTACTGCATCTTTAGCATGCGAATATTTTAGGTATTCAATGAAACCAACTCCTAACATAATCGTCATTACGCTTTAATTATCACAAATATAGTCACAACCTCTGCCTGCCTATTTGGCTGAGTGGTCTCGCAAGGGGTCTCGGGATTGATTCTCAGGGCAAACATAGTATTACTATATTTTTTTTAAATCTCAGTAGTAGCACGAAGTCTGGTACTGTGCTCGGTGTATGGCAATAGGTTCACCCCCTATTACATGGCACTTTATAACATAAATAGTGGAAAGTGGGTGTTACATTGTACAGTAGCATTAAGTGCCGTAATGTGCCTACGCCTTCGGGGGATAAAAGGCGCGATGGCAGGTCAAAGAGAAGTTAGCTTCTCTTTGCCTTTAGTATTTTTGGGTCTAAAATCTAGACTATTTGCCATATAAACGTTAAGTACTAACTTTGGGTCATTAGCCTACCCTACATTAAGGCCTGTCTAATGTAGGGTTCAAAAGTAACTGGTAATTATAATTTAACCAGGATTTAATCGATAAAAGTTTAGGGAAGGAATGTTTGCACAGATGTAACTTAAATATAAAAAAACGATATTTGGTTTTTAGTGTTGGTCTACATTGGCTACTGAGACATGTTGATTTCGATTCTTAAGTAATGCAAAAGTGTTAATAATTTGGTTTGAATATTTTGTACGATGTCTTCGAGGTCCTGAGGTGTAAGGCGCCTGTTTCTCATGCATGAACCTACCAATGGCAAGTAGCAATGTGACTTTTTCCGAGCAATATGCACTATCTAAGATTATTTAGACACCATTGAGAAATGGTGAAGGGAAACGTGGCGAGGAAACTTGGATTTATAATTTCTAATTAAAAGTTTGTAATTGCCATATTTCCAAAGACAATCAAACATCCTTTTAACCACTCCATCATCAGTGGAATCTCTCAGTCTGACTAAATACCAGAAATTGCTGAACATCCTTTGAGATAAGTTGGCAGCCTTCCAAAATGTCTAGCCGTGTACCCTTCGTAATATTTTGCAATTTAAAGTAGAAAGTTCAATAGAGATGTATTTGTAGATTAAATAATGTTGATATAGGATCGAAGTTTTCAAAAAGATAGGAGTTGGTAAAACGACTGATTGAATTATTTTTAATTGAATAGCAGGCAAACAAGCAGAGCGTCTAGCAAGCAAGCAGCAAGCAGAGAGCAACAAGCAGAGCAGGCGGAGCGCGTGAGGGAACGAACCTCCTCACGCCCCGGCCGTCGCGAGAGACAATCCTTAAATTCCCAATTCACAAAAGGCTGGTAACGCACTTGTAAAGCCTTCGTGTTTCATGTGTCCATGGGCGGCGCCGATTGCTTACCATCAGTTGATCCGACTGCTCGTTTACCGGCTTATGCCATAAAAAAAATAACTCTTGTTACCTAATACTTACACCGTACACGAGGCGGAAATTTCCGTATGAAACTAACTACTCAATTTACTCACTCGTGGTTTTGCGACTAAACTTTGTAGACTCGATTTAGTTAGAGAGTTAACTAGTTGGTTAAATTTAGGTAGTATTTAATCAATATTGGGTATTGGACTATATCGAGTTAGCGCTAAATTTGCACACGTTGGTACATAATAGATAAATTAGTTATTGATCTATGCTCTCGATAAAGCTAACCAAATGATCGGTTACCGTGTTATTTGGTTTGGGGACAAACGAGCAGATGGGTCACCTGATGCTAACCAATTCACACTACCCATTTTTTTTGAGGTCCGAAAATTATTCCATGACTTCTCTCGCTCTCTCTCTCTGGGTGAGACGAGAGGGAGTGTCAGACTCTTACTGACTAGTAATCACCCCGTTCCTACTTCTGCACTTCGAACCGGAACCCCGGTAACCCGTTAAGTCCTCCGCGGCTCTGTATAGTAACTCGCAACACCAAAGAAGTTACGAGTGCGTTGCTAATCTTAATACGCTCCTATTTAAGGTTTTTTTGCCATTGTTAAAAATAATTTCGTTTAGTGATAGAATAACAAGCAGACAACAAGCAACCAAAACTACTTCTACTTCTCAAAGGAAGTTAAGAAATATTTTCGCGTTTTTAGTTAAATCTTTTTTTTTATATTTGATGGGCTGACGTTTAACCACTATTTCGTCTGGTGGTAAGCGATGATGCGGTCTACGATGGAGCACGTCGTCCCATAAGCAACCTTTTCACTCGAACCTTGAAGACATATCTGTCGATTACTTATTGACATTTCGATAGTGACATGATGCTCTACTTGATACAATGAGATACTTACTTAAAATAAACAAAACTATGACACATTGCCTTTTTTTTAGGGGGGAAAATCATCGAATCACTGCTCCCGCCTGGGTGGGGTGGGAGGGAGTGTCAGAGTCTTACTGACTAAAAACCACCCCTTTCCTACTCCTGCGCTTCGAGTCGGAGGCCTGGTAACCCGTTAGGTTCTCCGCGACATATTGTCTATATATTGACTGAGTCTGTAGCCTGAACAAAGTATTAACTTTTGTCTACCACAATGGCGTCTGATTCATCTGATTGCAATGTAAGAAGTACAAAAGTGCTTTTTGTGAGTATAATTATTATTGCTGTGGCATTGTAATCACGTCTGTTTTTTGTCGAAGCAGACTTGAACTTACAGCTCATAGATTTATGTGTCTTTACTTATCCAAGTATGACAGGAGTAAAATTTAAGTAAACTGTGCAAGGAATTCAATTGCACACTATGAACCAATGTGCAATTCCGTGCACAGAGAAGGAATAGAAGCGCTCTATAATGAAGCGGAACTTTTAATTATGATCTGCAAACCAATGCTAAGCGTGCAGATTATAGCATATTCCTCCTCCTTCCTCCTCCTCATCATGTAGAGGAGGGTCTAGTTCAGCAGTGGACACAGGCGGCATAATTCTACACTTTATGCTATCATCGAAAATTAGATACAACATGAAAATATTACTTTATTCAACACAGCGTTCAAACTACCAATCTTTGACTGCACGTTTGCTGCGGTGGCTGGGCAACTGGATGTCGCGCAACGTGTCGCGGGTTCGATTCCCGCACGAAGCAACTCTAATCCACAGATAGTTGTTCCGGCTCTGGGTGTCATGTGTATGTGAACTTGTATGTTTGTAAACGCACCCACGACACAGGAGAAAATCCTAGTGTGGGGCAACGTTTTTTAAAACAAAAAACAAAATCATTCGATCAAAATAAGTTCAAATATATTTAACTTTCTTTTCTGAGATCCCTGTTTATGATTATGCCGTGATATGAAATCGTTTCGCGTGGCGTGTTCTAATTAACAAACTTATTTGAGTCGTCAGCAAATTATAATTAGCAGGAGATAATTAATTGGTAGCCTCGTTCCTGTAGTGGTTGTGTAATGGAAGTGGATCTCTAGGTCTTGTGTTTGATGTTTGAGTTGGTCTAACGATTATTTCTACTGGAGTTTGGAATTGCAAACAGTAGGTAATTGAGAGTATAGTCTCAATATGTAAATGTTAATCTGGGAATGAACATAGGCGTTGATGTTGGTATGCTCAATTGCTGATGTGATAACTTATATTTATTTTTGTGTTTACTCTCTATAACCAGTCGCGCAGCCACACCGCCAATACACCATACACCTGACATCCGAACTGGTCGCGTCCTCAAATTGGTGGCGCAACGAAATCGGCACCAGATGAGTATCTCTTGACGATCTCCAGCCACCGTAAGCACGGGCCTGCGGATGGCGAGCAAGGGTGACAGAACCAGGCCCGAGCGTACGGCGCGTCGGGTTCCGCGCCATCAGACCAACACAGATGGGGCTCAACAGGGGCTCGGGGCTCCAGCTCGAAGTGCAGGAGTAGGAACGGAGTGGTTTTTAGTCAGTAAGAGTCTGACACTCGAGAGTCTCGCCTCACCCGGGCGGGAAAAGGCATTGGATGATTTTCTCCCCTCAAAAAAAAAAGGTGAGTATATCTCTATAGGGCTGCGTACATTTTGTTGGTGGCAGCGACTGGTTACGCTGCCATGGCGTCTCGGTGCAATATAGTCCTTAGTGAGTGGGTGAGTTAGTATGTATTTTTATTCCTCAATCAAAACTCAAACTCTTTATTTGCATGTTAAGCTAATACATACAGGTCTTATGAGATAACAGGCACAGCTTAACGGCCTTGTTCAGGCGTTGCAAATTTTAGGGGTGTCACCAGCTTATTATAAATTACATTTTGGTTAACAATTTTTTTTTACATATTTATTTATTTGTTCGGAATATAGGTAAGTACTTAAGATATAATATATTAGTGGGTAAGTGCAAAATGTAAGTGGGTATTCTTAAAATGTATAGTATATTGTATATACATAGAATATTTATATTATATAACAGAGATATGTCAGAAAAAGTACTTAGAAAATGTTTTGAAAAGATTCAATATGTATGAATGTAAACCTGTGAGCACACCTATGGATTATAATTTCAACATTTCTGATTTAGAAAATAAAAATTGTTCACAATATGCAGAAAATATGTGTAGAAAAATTATTGGGTGTTTGATGTATGCAGTTTCGGCCACAGGTTCGGCCACAGTTTTTTCAAGTACACGGCCAGATATTTGTGTG